TATTCTCTGTAATGAAGAAATGATCCTCTCATTTGTGCTCGTATACTAATTAGTATTGTTGCCAAGATATATAGTGATTTTATATAAAAACTCCAAAATATAATTTTAAATATGCAATGTATCTACTAAAATTAATCTTTCACACCAAGATTTAAATTCAGAAATGAATTGGACTTCAAATATATTTATATATATCCTTTGAATAAAATTAAAATATAATTTTTAATATCAAGATTTAATAAACCGCAGAAGGATTTATAGGTAATAGTATTTGTAAATTGGATGATGAATCACAAATCGTTCATTGATTTGAGTCAAAAATGCAGCCAAAAGTAAAATAAAAACGGTTATTTTATAGTTATCCTCAAATGCGTCCATGTAATATTAGAATGATTTGAATGTCCATGTATAAATCGAGGTTGCGAATCTCAAAATCATATAATTTTCCTTTCGCCTCAACAATCACATATAAATCTCGTGAAATTATTGGTCGATATTATTTCTTAGTTTTATAAGTTGTAATATAATAATATTCGAGTCAGCCAAATCCGTATCATATTTTTGAAAATGTTGCATAAAATTGTTGATTCTAATGCAAAGAAAATCGGCAATCGTATTGAATCTAATAATGTATCAACTCAGGTCATCCTGATATTTCTCAAAATAGGCTCTTCTAAATCCAAAAATGCTTTGACACTTTGATATCGAAGGCCCCATCTTGTCGGGTATGTTTTTTGTAATTTCTTTGTTCCTTTAGCGCAAGAATTTTCAGAAATACTTTGGATATCTGAACATTTTATAAATACTTATTACTATTAGTAAGAGATAAATTAAATAGATTTGTTTTTTTGGTTGATAAAATTTTCTTATATCCTTTAGTGTTTATGGTTTAAACAGAGATGTAAGAAAATAAACTCTAAATTTTCGTGAGATATAAGGAATAAATATTTTAATTAGTTTTAACTTTTTACTAATATTTAAAATAGAATATAACATATTGGAAATAGTATAATTTGCAATTCACAATTCGAAAATTTTGCTACAGGGGAGAGGGGGTGGGTGTGGGTTACGAGTTTGATCATTTTATTATGTCGGAGGAAAGTAAAAAATAAAGGAAAACTGAAAGATAGAAGGTAGGTGGTGATAAATAAGTGAAGAAAGTCGAATAAGATTGAGATAAGATGGATATTAGAACAAGGAAGGGAAAATAAAGAATAATAATAAGCTATCGAGAGACAAAAGATGGAAGAAAGATAATAGAATGAAAGTTTAAACTAACTAGATTACTGTTGTATACAGAAATAATAAAATAAATTTTGGCATCTTCTATAAATTTCATGAATTTTTTATTTCTTTTCTAATTATTAGATTACAATTATAAATTATTAATATCGACTATGCTTTATATTGACCTTGCGTCAAAGTGGCAATAAAACTTTATGAATTTTTTCTTTCATATCTTGGAATTTAATCTAATAAATAATTGCAATGTATTGACGTTATTAATAATTATTTCCGCAGGTATAAATAATTGATTATTTAAAATGATGACATCGATAATATCTTTTACAGTGAAATTTGCTTAATTTGGGTTCTTAATGAATCAAGCAACTCCCTAATTCTTTTAAAAATTTTGATTCGATCAAATTCCTATTAACTACTACCTAGAAAGTAAAAAAGTCTTGATAAATTGGGCAACGTTCTAGGTTGGGCAAAAATATTGGAACTAACGGTGCCCAAAGTAGACAGACCGATTTTTTTCAGCTTTATATTTATAGTGTTGTTAAACGGCTTGATTTGAGCCGATTTTTAAAAACAGATAACTCAATATTTTAGCTAGAAAAATATTACCTAAGTCCTGAGATTTCCCTAATAGATGTTCAAGTTTTTGTGCTAAACTATGAAAAAAATCTTCAAGCTCGCTTATATTTTTCTGGATATACTATTGAGTTAGCCATTTTTAAAAATCGACTCAAATCGAGCCGTTTAATAACACTAGTATTATATAATCACAATATTCCGTTCCTCAATACCTTCCCTAGACAGTTTATTAATTAACATAAGATTTTTTTTTTAAAAAACGGATTCAGAATTAAATATTAATCGAATAATAAATTTATCATTAGAGCAGGTTAATGACAATCTAAAATAGACTTTTATACACAATTAATTACATCTATAAATATTACATTAACCTGCCCTGATGATATATTATTCGATTAATATTTAAAACTTAACATAATATTAAGGCTATTAAAAAAAATCATTAGAAAAATAGATTATAATTAAGTTCTCAGAAAAAAGAACGATGATTAAATTTAAACATTTTTTTTTGACTTGGATCTTTTCCCGTCCCCTTATTTTTAATTATCATAAAAAAAATTTACAAAAAAATGACAATTTCGAACACAGATAATAAATTATTAGAAAATACAAAATATTTAAAATATTATTAGAAAATAATTATTCCAAATATGTAAATCGGAATAAAATATAAAAAGGCCCATTATTTTAAAATAAAATATTTTAAATTGCCATTATTAGCTAAAAATTAAAAATAAATAGAATATATTTTAACAAAATCAGGGCCAGTCCTGAAAATATAAAGTTCGGGCCGGGCAGAAATATTTATTTGAAAAAAAAACTCCGGACCGGACCGAAATTTGTTCTAAAAAATCCGGACCGGGCTGTGCAAATGGTACGCAGGTCTCTAATATATATTAAGTAAAGTTAATACATTTAATCAATTTTCCGATATACTTCTGCAGGCCCATAGCTAGGAATTTCCAATTGAAGGGGCCAACTGCTTATTTTTTTTGGGGGGGAGGGGGGCAATTTTGCTATTTTTAGTGAAAATTTGTTTTGTCAAAGTCATAATAGGTCCAAAAATAATTATTTAAATTTTCAAAAAATTATAAGAAAACCCAAATATCTACGTAACCTTGTACATTGATAAATTTTAAAATTATTTTACACTTTTTTCTCAAGATTGATTCTTGTAAAGTGAATTTTTGCGCCAACAAGCCCCAAACACGGCGCTTGTAGATTCAATTAACATGGACAATGTTTTATTGATATAAATATACCATTTATACAAAAATAATTCATATAAAAGTGACATTATTTGAATTAGAAAAAATGTGTAAAATATTTAATTATTTTTTATTTCCTAATTCTACTGAATTATCGTATAGAATTATTAAAATATATAATAATAGTGATCGATGAATACTTATTAAAATATATCATATTTGTAAGCATAATTTGATTGATCCAAATAGCCCTGATTCTATTAGCTACTAATTACTAATACAATTAATACCTTTTAGAAATGTGAAAAGAGGTTTTAGATTTCATATAATGTCAATTTTATTATTTTTTAACTCTTCATATCTTTATGCCACACCTAAAAGACACATTTTACTATAAAAAAGTTTAAATAAGCTGAAAGGTATAAAATATTTCTCCTCTCATATATGCATATTATACATGCTATTCCGTAATTAAATTAGAATTTCTGAACATATCTGGTTTTAAATAAAATCCGCGGAATCGACAAGCCCCTTGCGCCGACTTTACCCTGGTTTCCCCTAATATAATTACGTAATTTACATTTTTAAATTTGAAGTAAATATTCAAATAAAGTATCCCATGTCCGGAAAAAAAAAATGAATTAAAAGAAAAATTTTGGGTTATTTTTTTTCATATACCATTAAGACTTTTTGATATTTTATCATAATAAAAAATAATAGATCATATATCATGTGAAATTTATTGAAATTATATTTCATAAATTTATTTATTCAAAGCTTCAAGGGAAAGAAAATAAAACCGAACTTGTAATGCATATCTTATTTTTATATAGCTAATTTTTTAGTTTTATTTCTTCCAATATTCTGTAATCCATTCAAGTGTTTTATAATAAAGTTGAAGCGGGGAAAGCAAAACGTTAATTTAATTTTAATTTGATTTTTAAATTTTGGTATAATTTTTCAATGTTAAAATGGCAAAATAAATATAATGCGAATTAAAGCAATTAAATTTGTTTCGAACGAATTGTAATATAAATTTAATGTTTTATCATTTTAATTTAAATTATAAAATGTAAAAACCTAAAATGGTAATAAATTTCCGTTTTTTTTAAAAAAAAATTTTAAATTCATATTTTTTGAAAAGCCAAAATTGAATTTAACCTAATCTCGTAATAGAAAATTTGACAGAAATAAAAAAAAAAATTCTGCGCTCTCTATTTCGCTCGATATTCCTATAAAGATCAAAAATTTTAAAAATTAACAAACTGCTCTAATTTCCAGCTTTTTACCGATCTTCGGCTAGTTAGCATTAATTTTACACATATATTAAATTTTAAAATGCTTTTTATAAATACCGCTTCTCTGCAATCGAAAGTGGTCATTGGACATCACATTTTAAATGTTAACTTCGTTTTACTTAATAAGTGCCACCATTATAACTAGTTGGTGGACTTCGGGAATATATTCATATGCTTTAATAATAGCCAAATATGATCCAGAGACATTTAACCATTATTATAGTAAGTCGTAATCTTACAACTGCTCACAATTCCCAATATTCAAAGTCAAAAGATTTATCTATTAGTATAACATGTCAGAGCTTCCATTATGGCCCGGTTTGAAATTTTTGCAATAAAAAGTTCAAATCGGTTTACATGCCTTTTTCAAGGTTCGGTTCAGGTTCGGATAACAAAATTCTTAACGGCTAAGGCTAGATGCAAGGTTCTGTAAATAATAACGGTTAATAGCAGTTTAACGGTTCGGCTAATCCCTCCTCTTATCATGATTTTTAAATGATACTTTTTTAGAATTTTTGTAGATATCATAATATCAATTAATATACATGAATAGGTGTTTAAACTCGTTATTTTATTTATCCAGTCGACAACATTTTTTTTTATTAAAAATCACGATTATAAACATGACATTTATTTTTAAAGCTTATCTATTTTTTAAAAAAAATATCAGACAAAAGGATATGCCCTCCAACCTTCGATGGGTATGGTTGCTGGAATCAAACTTTACCGGGCACCAGAACTTTCATAGATTGTCCAGATTATGTCACGGGATTCGATCCACAAAGTTTACAAATAAACATTTACATATTTGTTCAATTAATAGAAAGATTTTAATTTTAATATTTTTTTCTATCATAAAAGTATTAATTGCTCCCATATAGTATTGTTTTGGGTCTATTTTTAAAAGGCCCGATTAAGATTTTAGCCAGGACGGGCCATTTTTAAAAATTGATCTAAATCGGATCATTGTATTTTTTTTCAAAAATCCGAGTCGGGTCAAAAAAAAAATTTCAAATCCGGGCCTTGTATGGGGTACCTCTGTAGGCTGATATATACATAACTTATAGGGGAAAATTTTGGTTAGGACTAAGTTAATATTCTATAATTGAATTTTAGTCTTTATTTTTTTTAATGAAACTAGCACATCTAAAAAATTATATTAAAAATGATTTTAATTATATTTTTAAAAGGATTTTTAAAATAATAATTGGTCATTGATAAAAGTAAATCTTAATTAATCTCATAATATAAAGTTAGCTAAAAAAAATAGGATTTAGTTAATAACCAAAAAACTAAATTTGATCATCTAAATCTAAGTTTATGTGTAAATTGGAAGTAGCTTAAATATATTTTTATAGCTGATAATGGATTTAATTTACAGCTCATTGTGATGTTATTAAATATAATAATAATATACTATGGTATAAAATAGAATTCGCTCAACCGAGAATCATATTTTCCTCAATCAAGTAATAGAAATCCAATGATATCTTAATCTGGGCAAGTGCCATATATAGGATTTTATTTCGGAGAGGGTGATTGATAGGTAATAACTCCCCTCTCTTAAATATGTCAAGGTGGTCAATATATATAATGATTGCCTTAATATAATTTTTTTTCTATATTGTATACTTTGACATATTTGAAATAATTTATACCAGAGATCTTACAACTATTTTAAACCCCAGTAGTCCGGTATAGGATCTCTAACACGGGGGTGGGTATAGTACGATTTCGTCATTTAAATTTCAGGGGGGGGGTTACCTCTATAATAAAATCATTTGATATTTTGTAACCCGGGAGAAGTCGTCTGAACGTCATTGGCTTAGGGGATCTTGAGGGATTCAGATTTTTTATTAATGGTTTCATGGAGAAGTCGAAAATATAAGAAGCGAATTAAATGTTAAATCCAGCTCACCGCTTATTTGTTAATTTATATTTTCAAGCTCTGTCCATCCTCGGGTCATAATTTGATTATTTTTAGGTTTTACAGAGCCCAACCCCGGTTTGTATTATATTTTTAAATCCAGGCTAAATTCTTTTCCCCATTTTTTCCTTTGTATAGTTTGCTTAAATGTTATCTGACAAATTATTTGTTTATAAAATAGGATGAAACATTAATTTTATTTGTTCAAAATGAAGGTTTCCACTAATGTTGTTCAACAGCTCGATTTGAGACAATTTTTAAAAACGGCGAACTAAATATTTTACTTTGAAAAATGTTACGCAAGCCTGATGATTTTGGTTATAGGTGGCGCACAAAGGTTTGGACATTTATTGGCGAAATCTCTATGCTTAGAAAATCTTCCCGGCTAAGATATTGAATTTGCCAGTTTAAAAAATCAGTTCAAATCGAGTTGAATATTGAAGAGGGGTTAACTTTATATCTACAATGAGGAAATGTTAAATATATGCCATTTATTTTGCTTAAAAACAATTATTTTGAATTGCTAATTTGGTATATTCTGCAATTTGAATTTATTCTATCGGTAGATATCTAGAAATATTCGGTTGAACAGGATTTTAAATTAGTTTCATAAAACTAATATAGTCTATATATACCCTTTGATAAAACACTTTAGCAACTACTTTACCTTAAATAAATATCCCATAAATCTCAGAGGATTTTTTTATACCCGCTACTAAACCAAGATTTGTAACCCTAATTCACTAATCTTGCGTTTAATAAACTTTAATACTTAATATGGGAATTTTTCAGATAGAATTAAGCCGAATGTTTTGAAATTGGATTTTGACCGTTTTATAGCTATTGTCTTTATAAATTACAGGAATTTTCGAGTTATGATTATTAGTGCAAAAAAGACTCATAAGCTACATCTATATATTTTTCAATATACCCATATTAGGGAACAAAGTTAGGCTATCATTTACGGCACTCTTGGTTAAATGATAAGATATTTTTAGCGGAAATTTATTGTAGCATGTTTAGAACACCTATCTTATTAGTTGTAGACAATTTTGCCGTTGACATTTGTGTCATTTATAATTTATATAAAAAATGGAAAAACGAATATAAATTATTATAAATTCAAAATTTCATATGGGATACATTTCCGGTAAAAGATTTTTTAATTTAAATAGCACCTAAAAAAATGATATAAAATAGAAAAAAAACACATTGCCGCTACTCCATAAATTAGAAAACATTTTTTACGAAACATGGGTCTAATAGATCCAGAAGTTAATTTTTGCATTCATTTACAACCAGGGTTTAGCATTTGCTCTGGGAAATTTTTTCCTATATTTTTATAAAAAAAAATTTGAACATTGCTCAAAGATGATTTTTTTACAAATAACATTTTTCATTTTGCTCAAAAATCTTCTTTAAGAGTGCTCAATAATATTTTTTTATGAAAAGATTCTTCAATTTTTTGATCATTAAAGATTTTTTGCTCAAATTTTTTTACGAAAAGATCTTCAATTTTTTTGATCTTTAAAGATTTTTTGCTCAAATTTTGGGCGGAAAGAATTTTCAAATGCTTATTTGAAAATTGTTATACTCTGTTTATATTTATAACAATAAAAATAGGGTTGTTAAATGGCTCATTTTGAGATTTTTAAAAACGGCTATCGCATAATTTTATTAGAAAAATATTAAGCAAGCCTAAAGATTTTAGACATATATGGCACAAAGATTTGGACATCTATTAGCGAAATCTCGAGTTTAGGAAATATTTTTATTGCTAAAATATTGAGTTTGCCGTTTTCATTTATTGGCTCTAGAAACCTTATTAAAATCATTTCTAACCAATAATTTGAACCTCGTTGATTTCACTGAAATCAATTTAGCCAGCCCTCTTGCGATTTACTATTATTGTTCTTATCTTAAAACGGTTTAACTAACGAATCTACTTTTTCTCATAAAATTTACAGTTTTTAGTTCAATAATACGGAAAAAGTTGTAAAAATATGCGCATAATATAATTTCTTTATTTTTTGCACCATTTGATTTTAATTATGAATATTCCTCTTTGAAAAAAAAAGAAGTTTATTAAATATTATAATGATGCTCAAGAGAATTTCGTTTAAAATATATTAAAAAAAATTTTTTTTATGCCTTTTCTTTTCCTTCTAAATTCCAATTCAAGGAATAATAATGGAACCATAATACGCTATTTTTCGGACCGAAAATATTCATAATAATTTATTTATGTATATATATTTTTTTTTGTTTCGTTTGTCAAAAAAATATATTTTTTTTAGAAAAATAAAAATGTGGTCGTAAATTAAACCATTATATTTTATATTTATTATAATGAAAAACTAGAATCTGAAAACCACGTATAATAATGTTAATAAAATATGGGAAAGATAATAACGGAACATAATACTAATAAAAAAAAATTCTGGTTTATGAACATTAAATTTTGAGAAAAAAAAAATTTTATTAAAAAAAAATTAATACTCCAATGAATTTTTCGTGGAAAAAATAATTTAATTTTATAAATTTTCTGTTTTATTTTGGTGGTCGTTTTATTTATTTTTTATTTTACCAGCCAATTCCAATTGGAAACAAAAAAAAATTACATTTCGAATGAATTGAAAGAATGAAAAGGAAGATAATTTGAATTTTATTTTTTTTTTTTCTCTTTAGCTTTCACATTTTCTGGCGGTAAGCTCCTTCAATATCTCTCTCCACTTTATGTTATTCATACTATCTCTTTTATCTAATTTATACTTCTATTTTGGCTCTAACTTTATGGCACCATTAAAGTTTTGGCCTTCCTCTTTTACGTTTACCCATCACTTCCAAACTCTCAACCTTATTTCCTCTGTATAGTTCATAGGCCTTCTCATTGTGTGCCCATACCACCCAAGTCTGTTTACCATTATCTTAGTCTTAATGGGCACTACCTTTAAACTTCCTAGTATTCTTGTACTTCGCACCTTAGCCTTTTTTGTTACCCCAACAATCATCCTCCATCTCCATAGATTGTAGACTTCTCTTCTCTCGTCTGATTCTTTGGTTGGCCATGTTTCCGAACTATATAGAATAGTTGGTTGTACTATGGAACTGTAAATTTTCCCCTTCAATTTGTGTGGGATTCTTTTGTCAAAGAGCACTTCAGATAAAGATATCCACTGTTATTATAATTATAATTTTATGATAACTTTAAATTTTTAAATCAGTTTTTAAAAACGGGCCTTAGTAAGATTATAGTCATAATATTATTATAAAAAATTTAGAGATTTTGCAAATAGGTGGAAGAAAGGGTTGGACGTCTTTTTGCCAAATTTAGAATTTTACATAAGAATATTTTTGCTAAAATCTTAGGGCCGTTTTTAAAAATCGTCCCAAATCGGCGTTTAACAACAAACACAGTGAAAGTAAACTATAAAAATGAGTTAAAAATTTATCTATTGATGACGTTCCAATAATATTCTATTAATATAGCAAAATAAATGAACAAATTCGCACTAGTAGCCCATTACTAATTTTTATCAAAAACACAATGCTTCCTTGAATTATATTACTTGTATTTTGTATGTAAAAGATTCAATTATTTGGGGGATTAGTTCGTTCTTTTAAAACTAACATCATGAACTAGAATTAGATTAAAATGGTCGACAAATATGAGATAGGAATATATATATTTTTTATGAGTAAGGTTATAACTGGGATGAAACTAAGAGTAATTAAAAGTAATTTTTATTTCTGATTTTGTCTTTCAAACCAGAAAAGTAAAGAAAATTGTCAAACTAAAAATTAATTTATAAGTTCTATTGATCTTTAAAAGAAAAGCATCCAAGATTATGTTATTATAATAATAGTGAAACTGAAAATGAAGGACTTATGTGCCAAATCTAGGCATTATTTGCTGGTTTGAATTTTTTTTTAAAAAGGGATGATTGATTGAATTTATTGATTTATAATAGGAAATCGTGTTTCTATCGGAATTCTTGTGCAATTTGGAAGGTTAATATTCTTTTTGCGAGATTATATTGTAAATATAATTAAACACCCAAAAATTAAAATTGTATTCAAATTATTTTTCCAAAAAATAAAATGAAAATCGAAAAAATCAAATTAAATAAATATGTTTGAGATATTTGTTTCTTCCGAACCCAAATTGGTGAATTGATAGCCATTTTCTATGAAAAGGTATATTTAAATTTAATCACATTATTCGAAGAAAATGCATTAGATGAAATTTTTCGTAATTACGTTACTTGTTGGAAATTCTAATGTATTTCGATTTTATTTCTGAATTTACAACTAACTAGCCTAAATTGATATTATAAAACATAAATGCAATTCGGCCAACATTATTTTAGCTACGTCAATGCATAAGAGGATTTAATTATTTTGAATTTTGATATTATAGAATTTATTAATGTATTTTGATATATATTATTGAAAGAAATTGAGTCCATTTTATAAATTAGATAATTTTAATATAATTCCATTATTTAATATTAAAAATGCGTTGAAATTGGTTTCATTTCCTAAAATAGATTTTTTTAAAATGTAATTTTTATAAAGCATAATTTGAATTTGTGACACCTTCTTTGACAATCCTTTGTATCTTTCTCTTTTGACCATCATTCACGCATATTTACTTTTATTTTCAAAAGGATACATTTGAAAATCAGAAATGGTTTATATGTATAAGGTATATTAGTTTAGTAAAAACTAAAAGTTCACTATTAAAATATATACTAATTACAAATATATGCTGGTCATTTAAGTAGACTATAAATTAATTGCACTTAAAAAATAATTGCACGTCACTATCGGTTATCGCTAAATTAATAATGTTTACTAATTTCTTATATACAACAAAAACTAATTGGGTAATATTTTTTTGGTAATCATTTTTTAAAAATTTAAAATCTCTAATATACTACATCTAAATTTTATCCGGTTTAGTATAAAGCACAATTTATTCTAGATGATTTAATACCCCCCCCCCCCCTTCCAGTCTATACCAAAAAAAATGAAAGATATTGGCCATCATTTATATTAAATATGATACGCGTAAAATAAAAATTTATTTTATGATACACTTCAAGTTATAGTTTTGTGCATTTCACAATATCAACAGAAAATTTTTAAAGAGTCTTCAATAATTTTGGAACAGTAAAAAAGGCTCAACCCATAATAACCTAGAGACCGAGATGCCCCCAATGCCCCCAATGCCAAGATGATGGTATTTTAGGGTTCCAGGGAGTTCTAATAATCGGATGCATTATTTGATGGAACTAGCAAGGTTGGACTTATCTTACTAATACAAATAATCATTCTAGCACAGAAAGCAAATTTCTTTGATAGCGAACTAAGTTTTTCTCGGAGATGAAAATTGAACCGCGAAACATTAAACTATAACCGTTAATATCTAGAAGCCTAACCAAATCTGAAACGTTAAAAATTTACTCACCCAAACCTGGAATCTCTAAAAATGTTGCTGCGCCGGTTTGAATTTTTTGATATTACATCTAAACCCTAATAAAAAAAATTTTATTCTAAAACAAATTATAGCAATTATTAATAATATTATTTTATAATCTTGTTTCTTGGGACTTGTAGTCTAACTTCCTTTTTTAAAAAATTATCATTATATAACAAAAATATAAAAAATTTAAAAAAAAACTCCTTTAGTATGTGTTGCATTCTCATAATGTAAATAATTTCTCTTATCAGATATAATAAGATTAACTTCGAAAGAGAATTATTATTACATTTACGTTATAAGAATAAAAATAAGAAAAAGAAATATAGTTAAATATTATTCATAGAGTAATCGATGGCGCTACTCTTAAATTCAAATAAAATATATAATTTAAATTAAAGTAAAATTTCCATAATCATATCTGGAGAATTCACCAATGGAACGTTGTTTATTCTTATTATTCCACTTATGAAAGTGTATAGTTTATTGCAAATTTTTTAATTACCAAAATTTTGTTGGAAATTTTTAATAATTGCAAATTTTAAAATCTTGATTGTATTTATTTCTCCTTTATAGATAATATAATTTGTAAAAAGAAAATCTGGAATATTTTAATTGTATACGGGCTTGAATTTTTTTAAGGGAAGAAATAGTGATAAAATATTTTAAAAAATGTGCTTCTCTTTACATAATTCTAATATATTGTAGGTTAGAACCGGTTTTTAAGAATCATTATTTATATTTTACGAACCGAAACGTTATTTTTATCTAATTCTGAACCAACACCGATATTCTTTACTGTTTAAATCCATATTTAAAAAAAAATGATATCGAGATTTTTAAACATTATAAATTTATTTTTCGATGTTTTAAGTTTTTAAAAGTCAATTTTAATATATAGCAATAAATTATTTTATTTTTGCGAGATTTCAAAAGATTAAAAAAAATATTTTTTAAAAAATTAAATTTAAAAAAAAAAAGGAAAACACATGGACATAATCATAATAAATAGGTTTCTTTTCTAAGTAATTTTTTTTTTGTAAATCGAATTTTTTTTTGAAAATATTTAATCAGTTCTACTACTTAGGCCTTGGCTAGAATATACATATATTTTATTTTGCGAGATATTATAATTCAATATTTTATCAATTTTGTTGGCAAATTAAAGAAATTATCATTACTTAAATTGTTTTTTTGCATTTCAAAAGATTAGATACGAATATGATAATTAATTTGATTACTTCAATTGTAAAAAGAATGATTATTTTTTTAGAAATAATAAAAGTTAATTAATTTTGCCTTTTTTTTAAAATGAAAATATCGTATAAATAAAAAACAAAGGTTTGTAATGTGCATGTTACAACTATACAAACTTACCTAGTTTACAAACTAAATTAATTTATAGGTTTCTAGTTAACGAACTGGCTAAGAAATATACAAACTAGCTAACTAACATACGTGTAGACTGCAGATGTGTTTTTTCCTTACACAAATTTAAAGGAGGTATTTAGGTCCACTTACTGTAGACCCTTGGCTATATTATATTTTTATAAAGATAATTTTGGAGCTATTTTTTTTTCTTATAGTTGTTATTTTAAAAAAATTATTAACTTTTATACCCATTATCCTTTCAAATTATTGTTTATATTGATACATTTTTGGAAGGGAAAGGGGTGTGGAATGCGTTGAAGGATTTACTTTTTATTAAAAATATATTAAGAACGGGCAAATTTCCGATGGGGAGGGAAATTTCTCACTTTCCAATTCCTCGATAACAGGATTGAGGCCAATTAGACAAGTACTACTTTTGGGTACGTTTCAAGCAATCTTTGTTTGATTATGAAATAAAAAAAGAATAATTTTTAATAAATATACTCTCGTTTCTTCTCATTTTCCCGAAAAATAATTTTAAATTCACTTTCTTGAATACAATGAATATCGTCGGTCTAGAATTGGAGTGCTCCACTTGCGCAAATGTTTAAAATGAGAAAATCAACATAAAATAAAATATAGGAAAAAGTTATTGATCAATTTTGACAATAACTTTAACAAAAATTAATAGTTTTTAATCTTTTTTTATATATATATGGGAATAAATAATTTATTATCCATTTCGAACTCAGAAATTTTGAAAATGTCGAGTGGAGCACTCCTATTCTAGACCGAAGATATATATATTGCGATATATTGGCTCGTTCGTTAAATAAAATACACATACATAGGAAAGCCAGCTAAAGCGCCATTTTGTGGTTTGTACGTCGATTACATTGATGCGCGTTTTATATAATGATAAATAAAGACAATTAGTCGATGTGCAGACCACAAAATGGCGCTACAGCTGACTCCTATGTATGGACACATTTAATAAGTGAACCGCCAGTCTAGTAGTATATATACATCATTGTTTGAAGGTTAATTTTTTAACCCGTTTCAGACTTATATTCTACACTCTCCCTAAACGAATCAAGAAAAATCACCCCATCTAAAATTTTACATCCTATTTCCCAAAATTTTCCCTTATCCTCCTCCTACGATATCAAATCCAATTTTATTCAGATGATGATTAACGTCCTGCAATTTTACTGACCTGAGTAGGCGTTCCAGCTGGGATGAAGTTCAAATAATTAGGAAGTTGAACCGTTATTATCATTAAAACCTGATTTTAACATGGAAATTCATGATTTGCGTTTTCTCCCAAAGATGGATATGTATTAAAGCCATACAAATCGGCCCGAATCACCGCCTTTAAATCTTTAAAATATTTTGGACCAGGCTCGAAGATATTTTTTTTAAAATATCTAGCCGGACCTGAGCTTGAATAATATTTAAAAAAAGAACAATTTTATTTATTATAAAATCCTTATAGTTCTTACTATAGGAGCAGAAGAAAGCCTATTGTTTTTCTAAAAAAAAAACTTTTTACGCAAGCTTGATTTTATTCATAGATGGCATAATTGATATCTATTGGCGAAATCTCGAGGCTTGGTCAATATTTTTATGGCTTAAATATGGAATTAGCCGTTTTTAAAAATCGGCACAAATCGAACCCTTTAACAATACTAGATGCAAACTATTTTTACTATTTTTTACGCAAAACTAAAATTTTTACCAATTTTCACGTTACCATTTGAAATTTATGGCAAAATGCAAAGGTCTTCAATTTGTAAGTACAATTAAATTCATTATTTTTTTAGCAAAAAAAATTCTAATTATAAGGAATATAATAAATTGTTATTTTATTCCTATATAAATCCCAAAATTTAGGGAAAGCATTTAAAGACTGCTTACCTGATGGCACGTGGTACAAGCATCCCTTCACTAATAAAACTTGGTCCAATTATACTACTTGTATAGACATAGGAGATTACGAGGTAAAGTTATTTCCAATATAAAAACAATTTTTTTATACAATTTTTTTTTATTATTTTGGCGAATATCTTAATTTAAAATTGGCTATAAATCTTGTCGTTTACCAACACTAATTTTAACCACTTCCCATAATTCAAATAATAACCAACAATAATAATTACAAAAAAAAATTCTAAATTTAAAACAAACCAGCAAAACCAGTGTCATTTTAAGAGACTTTTGAAATTATATGATTCCTCATAATAAACTTTTTTATTTGTAAAATCAATTAACACTAGCTCAGGAAGAAAGTGATAAATCTATACATCATTGGATATTCAATATCGCTCATTTTTATACTCCTTGCAATTTTCATATTTTGGAAATTCAAGTAATTTATTTTATTTTCTATACATTCTTTTTACCAAATTTTATCTTGCTCCGGTTTCTTATTGTTCTCCATTTTCTACTTAAAGCTATAGTATACAAGTATAGCCCACTAAATAATAGCCGTTCCCATTTTATAATGTTTCCACATTTTTAGGGGTTTATTATAATTTGAATGGGTTTTTGGAGGGAAGTGTTTGACTACTTCGGCCTTACAAAGGATCACATAAAATATGGTTTCACTAATGTACATAATAAATAAAATATTTCTATATTTATACTGTGATCACGCTCATAACCAAGACACATCCCCATATCCCCCACTCTCCCCCAAAAATGTATACAATATATCTTTATAAGGAAGATTTGAAAGTAAATAAGTACGACTATAATTCAAAATTTTTAGAAAAAGGCATTTTAATTTAAAAATAGTGAAAATCCAAAATTATTTTTACAGCTAAAGGCCTACACAAAGCGGACCTAAAATTCTCCAATAAAATTTATGAGAACTCACCTAATAGTGCTCCCCCTCCCCTTAGGAAAATCACGGATACGTTTATGACTGTGATCTACAGGCTTTAAATAGGTTCTCTTCATAACTTATTCTAAACAAGTAAAATTGAGGCTTATTGCATAGTAAAATTTTATAAAATTTACTCATTTAAAAAATATATTCAACGTAGAACTTTAAATTGCACAAGAATTCGCATTCATCAACAATTATTCATTTCGTTCATTGGTAACAATCTCTCTCGCATAATTTTGCATTCCTTGACTATGAATCCTGCTATATTACTACAAAATCAAGTTTATATTTACTTTTCAGCGACATTTTAATATGCTATCTTCTTTGATAATTTTAATCCATTTGCTTTCATTATTAGAATCTTTTTCATTATATTATTCTTGGTTGGAGTAAAAAAAATCTGTTCTTAGCTGTGAAATTACTTTATTATGTGATGTAAAGCGAATAGTTTATAAAAGACTGCTAACATAATGGTACATTATTGTCTGGTTAGCCCTAAGTTCCATTAGGAATTTATAATAAATGTTAAAATTTGTTATTTAAATATTTAAATTGGTTCCGGCTAAACCATAAAGGTTGGCTTAAAAAATACCCACATTTGAGTACCCAATTTGAATGGAAGTGGATTCGAAAAAGACTAGGTGAAAATTTCAGCATGTTTATTTTTATGATAGCATCAGAGAAGGATCAAGGGCGAGGTAAAAAGAGACTTTACAGAAAGAAAGAAAGGAAAAAATAAAAAACTTTATTAAAGTGTGGAAAATAAATAATGGGCAACTTAATAAGAGGGTGGCTGTAGAAATGACCACTTTTGAGATGTTTCTTTTTTCTATAAAATTCTTTGATCATAATATTTAGGTTTCATGTCAGGTCCTTCATATAATCGCTCAATATTTTATGACGTGCAATTACATGTGGATGTTCTGCGAGGGCCTCTACCTTCATACTCTTATTATAATGGCTCTTAGAAATCTTAAACACATCCTATCTTATTTATGCATAGTAGGATGGGGTAAGTTTTAACCGATTATTTAAAAAAAAAATATTAAACGAAGTTAGATAACCTTTTAAGCCTCATTTATAGAAGCGATGCATAAATATTACTAAATTATATCGTGGCGGTATTATGTCTCGCGTTATTAGCGCGCTTACTATAAATGCAGCGTAATACCTTTAATGAATAATATAATTTAACTTAATTTTTTTTTGTTTTGTATTTTATGAGTAACATAGATATAAAATATCTAACAGGATTAAATTAACTTTTAATTGTTGGAATTTAACCATTAAGTTAAAGGATTCATCGAATACAGTCCTTATAAAATTTTATAATGTGCTAAATTTCCTTCCAGTTAATTTTAAAACATGATTTATATTTGGTTAATTCTCTGGTTCAAAAATTTATACAGTTTCTTTTTAGGTTGTTCTGGGGGCGGGGGGGGGGGTTAATAAAAAAAAAGTAATTGTTGAAATTATAATATATACTTTTTTGTAATTAACTCATAATTATTCTAAATAAAAATATTTAAGAAATTTTTAATTAAATTAAATTTCTTTATGATTTCGATTCCTTTATAAAATTTTATTATATCCATTCAGTTATGGGTTAGAAAATTATCACTTTGCATTCATGGTTTATAGGGTCCTTTTATAATATTCATTTATTTAATTATAAGAAAATTATTTTGATTAATTATAGTGAAGGTCAAAAGGACTGGTTAAAACCACTTCATATTCCAAAATCTTTGAGTTTTAGAAACTGAACTTATTCGGTTATTTTATTTCTCAAAATCGTTACCGAATTGATTCGCATTGTGGAGCGGTCTAAACCCTGCCCTGGTTGACCTTAAAATATTTTTTATGACTCGCTTAAAAAAATATATATATATTAATGATAAAAGGTTTGCCCTTCATTATGATTATAGCGTATATTACAATGAGGAAGCTCTATCAGCAAACTTTATCGTAAGTTTTCAAAAGGGATTATTTTTTTTTACCATCTAAATTTATATATTAAATTTTGTGAGTAATATAAACAAAAACTATCTTCATAGACGTAGCCAAAATGGGGAGGGGGCAAGGAATTGCAAGTTTTGAAACACGAATTCCCTCCCAATGTTTAAAGATTATTTGATTGGTTGGTTTCGTTTTTTTATTAAACTTATGAAATAATTTTTAAAATAAATTTAAGTCCACTCTGCTCATTTTCGCCTGAAAAATTTAACCGTTCACCTATTGTTATAATAATATTTTTGACCCACCTGCCCATGCCCGCTCATAGTGATAGCGGACTGATGTGCTAAAAACTCGTGCGTTACAGATCTCTAATCACGGTCTAAAAAATCAAATCAATTTAGCTATTGGCTTAAAATTTAAAATTAGAGCTTTCAAGTTTGATAAATTTTGAGTTTATGACTCCGTTATGAAAGATTCAGTTTCATATCAATTTTAAAATATAACTCGATTCAAGATATGACTAGATTCAAAATAAAATGAGATTGCAGCTATATAAAACTAAAAGAATAAATTATACCATTAAAGATCGTAGAAATCAAAAGATTGTTTCCCAAACGGTTTAATATAGGACAGAACACGAAATATTGGCATAAATTTTGTAATTTATTGTTGAGCCAACTTTAACGGAGATGATATATTAAGAATAAAAATAACAATTGGGTAGATCAAACATTCTTAATCATGTCGAAGGCCGGTCAAATGAGGGGTTCGGGGTGGCCCAGAAAATGTTCAATACTCCCCCCCCCCCACCGGTAAATCCTGGCTACGTACGATCTATAGAAATATACTTTTACTATTTTAAAAAAGGTGTTGGACTAACGAATCAAAATTCAAATGGATAATTAACGGACCTATAATTATCTCAATGATAGTATGAATAAAAAAATTACATTATATATACAATATTAAATTGCTTTTCAGAAAAATCGAATTCATTATTTCTATCAATAACTTCATTAAATAAAAGAAAGAAAGAAAGAAAGAAAGAAAGAAAGAAAGAAAGAAAGAAAGAAAGAAAGAAAGAAAGAAAGAAAGAAAGAAAGAAAGAAAGAAAGAAAGAAAGAAAGAAAGAAAGAAAGAAAGAAAGAAAGAAAGAAAGAAAGAAAGAAAGAAAGAAAGAAAGAAAGAAAGAAAGAAAGAAAGAAAGAAAGAAAGAAAGAAAGAAAGAAAGAAAGAAAGAAAGAAAGAAAGAAAGAAAGAAAGAAAGAAAGAAAGAAAGAAAGAAAGAAAGAAAGAAAGAAAGAAGAAAGAAAGAAAGAAAGAAAGAAAGAAAGAAAGAAAGAAAGAAAGAAAGAAAGAAAGAAAGAAAGAAAGAAAGAAAGAAAGAAAGAAAGAAAGAAACAAAGAAATAAAGAAACAAAAGAAAAGAATTTGAGTTGTATCAAAAAGAAATATTTTATTTTTACTTTATAACTATACTCAAATATAAAAAGTTAAGTTTTGTATTCCTTTGCAATATCATACGGATTCTCGTGGCCAAATTAACATCGATCAATAGCGCAGAGAGACATCAAACCAGGTTACAGTACCTATATAATATGCGATTTTTTTGCATTCATCCACAGAAATGATGGTCATTTCTTTTGTAATGTCTTCTTTTTAAAAATAATCATTTCTCAATTTTTCGATAATATTTTTTCGGTTGGTGATCAAAACTACCAAATATTCTTCACGATTTACTTAATTTAATTTTTTTTATATAAAAACGAAATCCTCAGCAAAGCCGTTAAAGCGACGTTGATATTATTACCTCTATTGGGAATTCACTTTTTGGTGATGCCCATTCGTCCACCCAAAGGGTCCCATTGGGAGGCACCTTACGAATATTTTTCTGTAATCTTGGTATCTTTCCAGGTTTTATAATATATTATATATATATAATGAAGGTAAGGTTGTCGATTTAATTTAGTGTTATTTGTAAATAAATGGCCTATTGAAAATTCGTGTTATACTTATATTTTTATATTCTAATTTTTGGTATATAATCAATAGGGATTGTTTGTTGCTGGAATATTCTGCTTTCTGAACGGAGAAGTATACAGTATTAAAATTTTTTATAAATATTATTGAATTTTTTGCTGAGCCTTTTATTTTTGAATAATTAGGTGATAAACTGTCTCAAAACTGCTTTCAATTCATCCTCATGTATTCCTTCAAATAAAACCAAATATAGTCAAGTTACTATGGTAATATTTAAATTTTATTACTTAAGGCTACATCCAAACTTGATTTTTATTTCTTTTTTTTCAGTAAAACTTTCAAAAGTAAAAATACAAGAGTTGTTAAAATATCTAGATAAAAAATGTGGTGTCTGTATCTATCTAGTTATATATTATAAAAAATATCTGTATATGTATCTATAAACTATTTTAGAGATATCTTGATTATTTTTAGATAGATTTTGATATAATTTTATTTTACGTTTTTTATATAAAAATAATGATATTTGGAAATATTATTTCCGAGTTAATTTTATTATTACAAATTAGACAAATTTTATTTTACGCGGTGGATGACGATGAGAATATTTTATATTTATAAATCTAACAATTATTACTTATATTATAATCATTTAATTATACATTTTGTTTATAAGTGTTAACTTCAATGTGTTTTTTCCGGCAAAGTATTATTTTCAACTTTAAATCATTTTTTGACTGATTTTACTGGAAATGTATGCCATCATATTTTTGAATACCTACCCTAAATTTCTGACAATTTTTCTATGAACTTTTAAACTTAATATATTTATCAGAGACCTGCAGGCCCGGCCCTAAACCCGGGGCGGGGCCGTATTTTATATTTTTTAAATATACCCGGGCCGGGCCTAAATAAATTTTTTTAAACATATCCGGGCCGGGACTAAAAAATTTTTTTTAAAATATATCCGGCCGGGCCTAAGATTGTTAAACCCGGGGCGGGCCTTAATATTTTTTATAAAAATTTTTACATTATGAGTTAATGGTTATAAGATTATATTATATTATAGTTATGATTAATATAATATTGGGTGATGGTTAACACTACCTAACACCCACAGATCGATCTAATTATTAATTTCCTGCAAATTTATTCAAAGTATTAATATATTTTTTTATAATTCATATCTAAATTTTTACAACATATTTTACCAAAACAATCAAATAAAGGAATATCTTAAATAAACCCCAATATTCAAGTATTATTAATATATTTTTTTATAATTCATATCTAAATTTTTAGAATATATTTTACCAAAACAATCAAATAAAGGAATATCACTTCTTGAAGTTTTACCTTTCAAAGCGAAAAAGGAGAAATAAAATTGATTTTACTTAATATAAAGCATTTTTTAATTGAAAAATTTGTTTTACTCCAGTATCATTTTATTTTTCTTTTTCTCTGTCCCAAATTCAAGCAATTACGTATGTAGTCAGGGACAGATCGCAAGATGACGGAAAACTATATAAAAGATTATATTAAATTACAATAGGCTCAGGAAGTAAATGAAATACCATCGACCAGTCAAATTACGACTGTTGTTAAACAAACTGAATCGTTTTATGATAAATGGGGCGATGGTAATTCTGGTAATATGTCAATACCCGTTGATGAATATTATAATTACATAAATAAAAAAATAGATGAAACATTTAAGGTGGATAATTTGTTAGAGTGGTGGGCGGCTCATCAAGTGTAAGCTGTGAGTTGAATTTTTCCACTATTGGGAGAATTCTTGAAGAAAGAAGAAGTAATCTTCAACCTGAAAAGGTAGATATGCTTCTCTTTTTTCATGATAATTTGTGAATTTTTAATATCTTTCTTGAGTATAGGGTTTCGTCAATCATGCTGGTTTTTTACTTTGCAAACTGTCAAATATTTATTACATTTATTATATTTACCTTGAGTCATGAAAGTTTTTAATCCAACATTTTTCATTATTTTTTTTACAATATTATATAATACAATTATCTTTTTTTGTTAAAAATTTATATTTTAAAATAAATTATATTAATATTGTGCAATTAGATTATATTTTCAAAATACTATTTATTATACATGCATTTTTTTAAATAGCGATTTATTTTTATTTTATAAATTAAATAGTAAATACAATATATTATAATCTCAAAATATTTTCTATTTTTATAAATTAAATATTAGTTTTATTTTATTTAAATGCAATATAAAATATAGTATATGCTCAAAATATTATTACCATTTTTATGAATATTAGTTTATTTTTATAAATGCAATCTAAAATATAGTATATGCCAAAATATCCATTTTTATAAATAATAGTTTTATAATTTTTATAAATTCAATTTAATATTCTCAAAATATTAGCTTTTTACATGTATTTTTTAAATAATAAGCGATGATACTCGCTGAAAAATATGGTAAAATACTTCATAGGTGAATTTTTGTATATACCAGGTCGAATATAATTTTAAAAAATTCCGAGCCGGGCCTTAAATTTTTAAATCCGGGCCGGGCCGGTCCTTAAATTTTTAAATCCGGGCAGGGCCGTAAAAATTTTTTTTAAAAAATATCCGGGCCGGGCCGTGCAAATGGTACCTCTGCAGGTCTCTGATATTTATATTAAATTTTTCATATATTTTTTTATAAGTTATAAATGACTCAAAGGTTAACAGCAAAATTGTCTACAATTTCAATTTATAAGATAGATATTTCAAACATGATATAATATATTTCCGGTAAAATAAGATTTTTAAATTTAAAAAAAACGCGTTCAAAACATTATTTAAAGTTGTAAAAATAACACATTGATCTTAACATGTATTTTGTTAAATAACAATTATTTATAATTTAATTATATTGTATATGTATTATTAAAACTTAACAATTATTATTTATCATTCAATGATAATTAAAAAAATTATATTTAAAAAGAAAACAATATATGACATAACAAGAATTAAAAAATAATAGTGCTGTAAACATTACTTCAAAAAAGAAACGCGTTACTCCTTACGTCTGAAAAAAGTAACGCGTTACTGTTCTCTTTACTTATGGTAAAAGGAACGCGAATTACTGGCTATTCAAAAATGTAACGGGCTTGCAAAAAATAATAAAAAATAAGATATCTTTTTAATAATAATTTTGATTTATATATAATTTATAAATAAAATAATAAATTATAAGGTACGAGTGTTGTTAAAAGCTACTTTTATAAGTAGCGCGGTATCGCTACCGTTACTTTTTAAAAAAGTAGAACGCTATTAGCTACTTCTTACGCTGATATAGATGCATTCATGCAAATATATCTAGATACCGATACATTTTTAGATGATTTATATGTATTATTTGAAAAGTATATTTTAACATCTTAAAAATACCTTATTGAAAGTGTTCCAAAATAAGTTTATATATCTTATTCAATCGATAGTTTGGGCAATTGACTAGTTATTTTTTATTATAATTAATCAGTTTGAACGTAGGTTAAATTGCATCAAAAATTTAATTTTTGCCTACATTAATCGTAAATCGTCCTGTTAAAATATTTTTTGTTTTGTCATAAAGTCTCTTAAATTTAACTCACTTATCTTTTTTCCATTCGAATATCCCCCCCCCCCCTAATATTAATATTAATGTGAAAAATTGAGGAAGGTTACAACAATTAAAAGCAGGAAAGCGGAAAACATTAAAACTTTTAAGTAAATTATATAAAAAATTTTTTTACACCATACACGCCTCGTTTATAGGAACCGCTATGTCCTTCAAGCGATACGCAATTTATCTTTTATTGATATCATTGCTCTATAAAGCGATTCGATTTCATTCACATGGTTACTATAAACGAGGCCCAATACTAGGTCTAAAATTGTTCAAATAAATTATCTTTTTTGGCATGATTTCAGTATGGGCATCTTGGAGTTGGACTAGAGAGGGAAACCAGACAACATATTTAAATTTACTAAACAAGAGCCCAGTTTTGCATTAGCTCTGTACCTTATATGGCAGCCCATTTATCCTTAACCTCATCTAGAGATCGGTTTAAGTAAGAATGGTTTAAGTAAGAATGGTTCTCACTGGGGATTGGATCATGGGTTGCGCCTTAATTTAGAATTCTCTGAGCCACCGCTGCCATTCAAAATATGCTGATTATTTTGTAAATAATTCAGCCTAATTACCTTGAATGGGCAAGGTTTAGGCATATATATTTTTTGCTAAATACGTTGTCTTTACCCTACATCTTGCTAAAATGTAATAATGTTTGCAAAGACATACACCAATAAAACAATGAACAGTAATATTATGTGCCTAAGTTAATATATAATTCTTTTTAAATAATTAATAAAATCGAGTAGCTTTTTAAAATAAAAAGTTTAATTTAACGTGATTAAAACCCGATTTCTTGTATGGAACATTCATATTGTTATTTTTATCATCTATATAACTAATGCTTATAATAATAAAAAAAAATAACTTCTATCTAATAACTATTGCATGTCTCAAAAAAATAAGAACATTTTATTTTCTCAAATTTGAAAAAAAAATTATATATAGAAACCCATATGATCAATTCACTTTTACCCAGTCTAAAAATTTTGTAAAAAACAAAATTTTATTTTAGAAAAATTTGTCCAACACTACTACCGCTTCTTCTATCTGAATCTACACAATTTTTTTTTAAAAAAATGGAATAATTAGTGAATGCAATATTTTGTTATTTGTTATAGTTATATATTTATAGTATTATATATTGTAAATTGTATTTGTAGATAAAGTTACGTTTATAATTATTATTTATAATTATACAAATTTATATTAATATATTGTAAAACATATACTTCATGCCAAATTATGTTTAAAAAAATATTCAACCAAATTTTTTTCTAACAAAATTTATAAACTTATATAATAAACGTTTTATTGTTATTGTTACATAGTGTACTATTATTTTCTAATACGAATCGTTAATATAGTATGACTTAATATATAAGGGTTTGGTCAAAACATTGAGGGAAATAGAAAATGATACTAAAGTAAAATTTTATCAAATAAGTCATGTACTACCTTTTTAAAATACAGTAATTCCAATGGCCCATTAAATGTTTTTTTAGTATTTAATAAATCATTGATTATTAAATATATAGGTTTTACACCCATTTCCTGCAAGTTTTTCTATTTTTTAAGGCTTGATATATGTGCTAGCGTTAGTCTATGTTAGATAGCTAAAGTTTTAAATTCTGAGTTCTATAGAAACTCGGACTTGTTTAAATATTTTCTAAAATATGGTTCCGGTATCCCACATTTATTAAAGATATTGTGGTAACGTATTTCTACATTTTTACCAGTACTGGGAATTTAGGCTTTTGATTTCAAACTCTGTTTAATTAGTATTATAAAAAATATTTGAAAATTTTTTAAACATTATAACCCATCACTAAAATGAATCACAAAATTTTTAACAATAGACATATCTAACACGTAATACCTCTGTTAGATCCTATTACGATTCCCTGATATTAAATGTACGAAAATTTGACTATCTAATCATCTAAACTATATAGTTCTTTCTAAAAATGACCTGATTTGAGCTAAGATAAGTATATTTAAAATAATTGTTACATTAGTTTACAAGTTTTACTATAATAATTTATCTTAACTCTTTGTTAATTGTTCTTTAATATACCAAATCTAGTGCACGATTATATCAATAATTCATAAACAAGGATAGTTTTTTAATAAAGAAGCTAAATAACGGATTTTTTTTATAAGCTCCCAATATATGAGAAGTAAGAATGTTTTAAAAGCAAATAAATCTATTATCATTTAATCGGCATTTTTAATTATTATAATTTTTTCCATAGTTAAGAGATTTTATTCTAATCTAGACCTCGACATAAGTTTTACCTTTAATAATTTACGTGTCTTTTATGTTCTTAATTGTTAATTTTCATCCTTGACAAGTTTCAGCATTTTTAAAGATTTTTAAAACGAATTAAATAAATATGCTAATATTAATCAAGACAAAATATTATGACAGTTATATTTGTTTCTTAGAAATTTATTGTTGACAATATGATAATACATTGTTTATAATTTATATAATATTCCGCTGTATTTTTTAAAAAATAAACTTGATAAAAAATAAATATTTTCGACTAATTTTAATATAATGCAAGACAGCCTTTTATTTTCGATATTCAACAAACCAATTATAACCGAATACTCCTAATGTTAATAGGGATCCTGCTAAAGCATGGATCCTGATGTCGAAGCTTAAGTTAACTAATTCTGAAATATACCATATTTCCTCGCGTATACACCAATATCTTTTAAATAATACTTGAGTTATAATGATTAAAATAAAACAATAATTATAAAATAATAATAAAAAATCTTTGTATTTTACATAAGACGCTACCTAGCGGATGTTTATATAATATAAACCCTATAAATTTTTTCTTATTAGTCCATTTTTTAAAACATTGTCTAAAATGGTAATAGAGAGTTATATTAGTTTCATGACCCTTTGTCAATGTAAGTTGCTAATATTATATTATATTATGTAGTTTTCAAAAACCATTATCAATTGAGGCATATTTCTATGAATTAATAAACTTTTTTATCATTTATAATTCTTTAGCAAAATTTTTTTATATCAACAATCGAAAATATTTTATACTGTAATAAATAGATTTTGTATTAAAAAATATTATTTTTAGAAATGTCTTGTATTATTTTGGTTAATAATGCTTGGTACCTTAAGGTACCATCTATCAAATTTGAATTTTGTTCATTTTTCATTTGGATAGGCACTACCAAATATATTTATAATATATATTTGAAAAATCGTGATTTTTGGAAAGCCTCTATGGCCTAGTAGGCAAGAGCTTGGCTTACTTATCCTAAGCTCCCGTGTTCGAATCCCAGGAATGATCATGTTTTTTTCTTATTCTAACTTGGTGGTTCCATCCTTGGGGGGATGATATATAGAAGGCCGGACTCGACCACGTGATTCCGTATTAATATATTAAATAATAAGGGTCTTATTACATTTAAATAATTTTTGGTCGGTATTTAGCAAATTAGATTTGTATTTAAAATATTTCCATACATTCACTTGGTAGTAAGCATCATTAACCTATTATTTTAATGGGTTTATTTTGCATGCAAAATATAATAAATGACATTCAGAATAATTATTTAGAATTAGTAAATTTAAAAAAATATAAAACCCGGCCGAAGGCCGCAAATTGGGGGGTATGGGGGCGAAGCTCCCATGAAATTTTTTAGTTGAGCCCCCTGAGATTGTAAAGGCTAGCGACGCCTCTGGTATTTAAAACCAATTTCTTTTATATTACATAATGAATCATTTTATATAAAATTCTAACTTTATACAAGGATACCAATTTGAATAATAAAAGTTTAAAATAAAAGATAATATGAAATTCGCGAGGTTAAACATGTTAATTACTTGATAATTAAGCGCCTAGCCCTATAATGTTATACACATACAAGTGTATGTACAACAGAGCACCGTGTGGATCCCTCAAATAAAAAGAAATCCCATCAGATTGGATGTCAAGAATTTAAGGGTTTGATAATGAGAAAACCCACACTAGTGTTGTTAAACGGCTCAATGTAGCCGATTTTAAAAAACGGCTAACTCAATATTTTATCAAGAAAAAATATTATGTAAGCCTAAATATTTAGCTCATAGATGGCACATAGGATTTATTGGCAGGCAATATTTTCCTAGCTATAATATTGAGTTAGCCGTTTTTAAAAATCGGCTCAAATCGAGCCGTTTAACAACACTAACCCGCACCCGATTAAGTAAAGGGTATATTAGAGAGGGGTTTGGGTATGTTAAGTTATTTATATTTATACGTAAAGAACCATTATAATTTAAAACAGTGTAAATATAGTTTATTAATAAATATGCAGATAACCAAGGATAAACTTTTTAAATTAAATATGTAATATATTAAGTAATATAAGCACCATTGGTGATATTAGCTAATCGAGAATTATAGAAAAACCGTGTAAGAATATTAAATAAGTTGAATATGATAATGAGGTGTATAAGGGATTTGGTGATGAATGTGCTAGTAGTCCCATAAAATAAATATATTATCAGAATTTGGAATTCAGATAACAGGAATTAATGATTTATTATATAATTCGTTATTATTTTAAGTAGTTTATTTATCGAATTTTTATTATTATTTAGAAATTGGGCTTATATTCAAACTTAGAACAACTTTTATAGTTTTACTTAGCCAATACGTTTTGTAATTTAAGTATTTTTTATTTTTATTGGAAGCCAATTTAGGGCTTCAAAAGCTAAATTTCGTTTAGAATTCCTCATAATATGGCAGAAGAGCTTATTCTTCTTTTCTTAAGAGGGATATCTACGGCTGTGTTTTGATATTTTCCACATTATATTTGATATGATTTTAGAATATTATTTGATATTATTTTAGAATATTATTTGATATGATTTTAGAATATTATTTGATATGATTTTAGAATATTATTTGATATGATTTTAGAATATTATTTGATATGATTTTAGGATATACGAAACCATTTACCAATCTCAGGTACCTATTTATGAAGACTTGTATTTTTTTTTATTTGAGATTTGTTCGTAAATTTAAAATTTGTAGTCTGGTTTTAACAGAAATTTCCTACGTGCGCTAAACTTGAAAATATTTGTAGAATATAAATTAAGCATGTCTCATTCTTAATTCTATTTCGTTTTGTATCCTTTATTATTTATAGTAACACCAAGATATTTAAATTCCTTTAGTGTGGATAGGGGTTGATTTGAGTAAACAACAACCCAAGGGAAAACATTATTATAACTTTTTTATCAAGACTAATAGTTAGTCCAACTTCGTTATACTATAAGTGTAAGTAAATTAGTGAAATTTGAAGGTTTGATCATTTTTAGTATCTTGTATTCATTGTATAACCTATTCGCTCTCATATCAGCTTTGATTTCCTTAGCCCTACTAGTTATAAATTTACGTCTGTTAATATGACCGATTAATACTAACCTTTAAATTGTTTTTTTTATGTTGTTATAAATTGATTTTTTTTATAAATTGATAGATTGATTTTTTTTATAAATTGATAGATTGATTTTTTTTATATAAATTTTTATATATTTTGTTATATAAAGCAGATTTTTTTAGTTTAAAAGAGAATGTAAAATTTAAATAGAGATATTGTGTAAAATTAAATAATTTATTTAAATAAACGATTTTTTATATAAACTAATCTTCTAAAATACTTTATGGATTACATCAAATATTCAAAGATACTTCATGGTGGCAGCTCCGCTACATATTCGAGGAAATCGTAAATAAATAAATAAATATGAAACAGATTCCCAATAATAATGTTAATATAAATATTGAATTTCCAATATACGCAGGCAATGGCGATCTTTTTTTGAGTAGATTTGAAGACATCTTCAAGGACACTCAGATATCGGACATCGAAAAAGCAGGTTCCTTTACAAGAAGATTACCAGATGAGGTATACATCAAGCTTAAATCGATATGTTCACCTACCGACTTCATCAATCCATCGATATTGATTGAAAAATTCAGGTTATTACACCCAAGGAAATCTACAAGTTCCAACTTATTATTATTTAATGCAGCTGTACAAGGTAAAAACGAAAGTTACATCGATTGGGTAAGTAGATTATGCATTTTAAAAAATGAATGTTTGCTAAGTGATAGTAGAGTTATTGAAAAAGTAAAAATTTCGTCAATCAGCAAAAATATTAAGCAGAAAATTACGTTAAAAG